TGGAAAGGAAGGGAGGGAAAGGGAAGGGAAAGGGATGGGGGGAGGGAAAGAGGGAGAGGAAGGGAGGGTAGGAGTTAAGATATACTGTATACTATACAGTATATACAGGCGCGCACGAACCACAATGCATCTGTTAGATCGTCTGATGGAGACGTCAAGGTGAAGTACATTTTTGAGACGAGTTTATGGTTGGTATTATCTACAGAGGCTGTGTGTGTGTGTGTGTGTGTGTGTGTGTGTGTGTGTGTGTGTGTGTGTGTGTGTGTGTGTGGGGGGGGGTCAGGTAGGAGCTACCTGTGGGTGGGTGAAGGTCGGCGTCAGGTTCACACGTCTAAATTGTAATTAGGGATCACCTGAAGATTAGGTCCCCCTTAGATTATATCAGCTGAGGTAATGAAAGAGGAGTGCGTAACAGAAGGAGATAGTTTCATAACTTGATAAGCCTTATCTCTCTCTCTGCATGCAAGAGAACAGGAGCGATCAAACCATGATTGTGAAGTGAAAGTTTTGGTAGAAGATGGGATAAATGCACTCATACAACCCTGATAACCCCAGCAATGCTGTCAGCACATACCGAGGCATCCCGAGTGGAAAAGCAACATTCATCCCAAGGAAAGTCGGTGAAGAATTCTCGCAAGGATTGCCAGCTTGCCCTCCGATAGTGCCATAGTTGACGTTTAGAGGGGGGTGGGGGAGGTGGTCGTGCCCAGTTTGATTTAATAGAAATAAGATTGTGATCAGAAGACCCTAAGGGGGCAAAGATTGAGTATGAACAGTGTGAGGGGTTAGAGGTAAAACAAAGATCAAGAATGTTAGTAAGTTGATCGTGTCGATCCAGAACACGTGTAATGTTTAATTATTTGTTCCAGATCATTAAGTAAGGAAATAGAGAGTGCCTCAGCAGAGCCAAGCCACTCTCTGTGATGTACATTAAAATCCCCTAGGTAGAGGATCTCGGTGTTGGGGTGTGTGGATAGTAACGGCTCATGGCAAGAAGTGAAATAGTCAAAGAGTTCGAAATAGTTGGTAGAGTTGGGAGAACAGTATAGGAAACAAAGAAAAACATTCATAGTTGGTAGAGATATTTTGAGCCAGATGACATCATAAAGAGAAGATTCAAGACCCGTGAGTCGAGCTATAGGTGTACGTGTGTTGCAGTAGGCTCATACACCTCCCTTAGAACGGAAAGAGGTAGAAAGGTTGTAGTTAGAGACTTGAAAAGATTTGGGTTAAGCTGCTTTGGCCAGATGAAGTTCAGATAGTAGCAAGAGGTCGGGGGAAGAGGTTAATTGATGGTGCTCCACAGAAGGACAATTGGATCTCAGGCCGCGAATGTTGGAAAAATGAAATGTGAAAAAAAGCCGATCCTCCAGCAACCACGATGACGTCAGTTGAGGCCCTAGTAGTTTGATGATGATCAGGTCGGCCCTGGGGTCCACAACCTTCCCGACCACTGGGACCTATCCGAGAAGGCCCCGCTTGAATATTGTTGTCAACTGATATCATAGGAGAATAAAAGAATAGAAAGAATAGAACAGACCAAGAATGAGTAAGGTTATATATGTTGTGTTGTCAACAGTAAGATAAACAATTGAGACCCTGCAATTGTGTGTAAATGAGGCAGCTTAGGTTAGGTTAGGTTAGGTTAGGTTAGGTTAGGTTAGGTTAGGTTAGGTTAGGTTAGGTTAGGTTAGGTTAGGTTAGGTAGGTTAGGATAAATAAGGTTGAATGTAATTAATATTAAGATGAACTAAACAGTGGTGGGTAATCTCCACAAGCTTCCTTATCAGCGTCTTCCTCCCTGTCATCTCCCACTAAGGAGACGTCACTTATCTTCACCTGTTACTGTGTCTCCTGCCACCATCTCCTCCTCCTTAATTATTTACCTTCATTTATTACACCTTTTGATTCTTTCTATCTCCCAAATCCTGACCTAACCTAACCTAACCTAACCTAACCTTACCTAACCTAACCTAACCCCCATTAGGTAAATTTGGGGTGTTTAATCTTCACGTAATCCCAGACTCGATATATGTAGGCATTTGGGTAGTTAGCTGGAGGAGCTATGTGTGTGGGGGAGTAGCTATGTCATAGTATATTATTCATGATCGTGATCAATGCTTTTAAACACACACACACACACACACACACACGGAAGCACAAATACTCACACATTTAACAACGTGTGAGTATACCTCCTCGACAGTGAACACGTTTAGTGCAGAATAAAGGCAACAGCTGAGCACGACTGTGTGTAAGAAGGGACAGAACAGCTGAAGAATGTGAGAGAGAGAGAGAGAGAGAGAGATACAGGCAGAAAGACAGACACAGACAGACAAACAGAGACAGACAGCAGACAGATAGATAGACAGACACAGACAGACAGACAGACAGATACAGACAGACAGACAGACAGACAGATACAGACAGACAGATAGACACAGACAGACAGACAGACAGATAGACACAGACAGACAGATAGACACAGGCAGACAGACAGACAGACAGATACAGACAGACAGATAGACACAGACAGACAGACAGACAAGGACCCACTAACTCTAATATTAGCCAAACAAGACTCTGGAGAGTTTAATTGCTGACATGATTTACTTTTATTACCGAGTCATACCCACCAACCACCTGTGTGCGTGCGTGTGTCTGTGTGTGTCTGTATGTGTCTGTGTGTGTCTGTGTGTGTCTGTATGTGTCTGTGTGTCTGTGTGTGTCTGTGTGTGTCTGTATGTGTCTGTGTGCGTGCGTGTGTCTGTGGGTGTCTGTGTGTCTCTGTGTGTGTAAACAGAGAGACAAAAACACAAATTACCTCGTTAAGATAAATAAAAAATATCCAATATTCCACAAACAATATCACCCAAACACACGAACACCAAAACACTATTAAAAACACATAACATTTCTTATACACCCCCCCAAAAAAAAACAACAACTTAATACGAAACTTTAATTAAGAAAAAAAATACCACACTAATAATTCAGTAACTACCTCACCGTTGGTAGTGTTGGCAGAGGTGAGGAAGAACGTCATTACAAACACTCAGAACCTTCACTACCCGCATTTGTTTCATCATTGTCGTGAGAAAGATTCAGGGTCGGTGAGAAAGGACGGTAGTGATCGGTTAAAGAGTTTATAGATACAGTACGGTGTCCCGGTGACGTTGATTCGTTGTTTCGTCTGCAGGCTGATATAGATAACATAAAAATCTATTATACTTATACTGGGAAAACAAAAGACGATCGTAACTCTCTAGGAATATAGATCGGATCGTGTTTTAGTCTTAAAAGGTTCACTGATTTTAATAATAATAATAATAATAATAATAATAATAATAATAATAATAATACAAATAAGAAGAATAAAAATAAGATCAACAACAACAACAATAAGATTCCTAACCTCAACAATAACAGAAGAAATAGTAAACAGACAAGGCTAACTACTATATACCTCCTACAGAGCCTAGTGCAGCTCCTAGGGTGAACCACAGTATAGCCCTACTAACACACTTTAACACCTGTAATAAACACCAGCAGTTGCCAGCGCCAGATACAAGAGAGACGAACAGACTTACCTACAATGAGAGAGAGAGAGAGAGAGAGAGAGAGAGAGAGAGAGAGAGAGAGGTACAATATAAAAGTACAGTACATGAACACAAGGAGGGAGGATTTGCTGCCCAGAGGTGTGTGTGTGTGTGTGTGTGTGTGTGGTAAGATCCTCCTGGTGGCGGTCACACCTGCCGCTGGAGCTTCACGTCCCTTAGTGGGTTGTGTCACTATCTCTAACCTTCTATTTACCTTCTGTACAAACGCCACAACAGGCACTAAGTGGGTATATCTTCGCCAGACGTTCCTTGTGTGAAGTTTGTGTCAATGTCTCCGCAGCGAGCATTTCGTCTGGCGTTGGTGCCTTATAGTGTGTCTTTACGGGATAAGAAAGTCCGAACGGTGTTGATTACGCACACACACACACACACACACACACACACACACACACACACACACGCCATCGTACTCACGCAAACACCTCAGCGTGACTAAACAACCAACTTCAGATCAAAAAAGTAGATAATATCATTGTTGAATTTTTTTATGTGATAATGTCAATACGTTTTTACCTCACACAACACTATACTTACATACAGAGAATCACTAACACAAACTTATTCTTAAAATACAGAAGTGAAAAATATAGACCCCAAAAAAATATATATATATTATTTCCAAACAAAGATTTAAACAGGAATTTCATGTTAAATTTTTTATGTGATTTGGTTTCGTCTCCCACGCTTGAATTTTATCCCGATACACTTTGATTTCTCGCCGTTATGGTCGATTAAAATTTCTACAACGTTATAGTTGATAATTCGTGATTGTAGTGTAGTTTTAGGTGTTGGTGAACGATATCTGTACCTACATCCAATATACAGTATATTTACATTATATACTATACTCATTCTAGTCCTGTTATATTACGGGTCATTATATTCAGTGGCCGAATGGATACAGTACTCTCCTTCCGTCCCTAAGTTCGCTGGTTCGAGCTCCATTTATCACGAAGCCATCTAGTTTAACATCGTAATGACAATAGTACTAACAACTATACAAATAAAAACAACAATAATAACAGCAATGATGATGATGATGATGATAATAATAATAACAACAACAATAACAATAACAACAATAACAATAACAATAATAATAACAATAACAACAATAATAACAATAACAATAATAACAACAATAACAATAATAATACTAACAACAACAACAACAACACGCAGGAAACAGAGGCAGGTGAGGCAACATAAACATGAGGGAGAAAATGAAGAATAAGAGCTAAAGTGAGAGAGAATATGAGAGAGAGGCGGGGGAGGGGCTAGCTAGAGAACGGGGCACGGGGCACAAGGTTGGGGGGTGTAAGCTGGGCACACTGGCAGGCAGGTAGGTAGGTACACACACACTAAGGGAGAGAGTGTTGCCTGGGCCGTGATACACTGTGGGTCCTTCTCCTCTCTCGCTACTCACCCCCCCCCCCTCATAAAACAAATCCTTGAAGCCTCACCCCTCACCCCCCCCACCTCCAAAAAAGACAGAAAAAACCATATAGTAGACCCCAATCACTCAATAGGGTCACAGTGTAAAAAAAAAATATATATAACCTCACCAAAAATTGTAAATCAACTGTCTGGGAAATACAAAAAAAAATTAACTGAATCACGAAATACCAAAAAAAAATAAAAAAAAAAAATAAAAAAAAAATTAAAATCTCACGCATGAAAGAGTTACATCTCCGGAAAATAATGATGGTGTTATATGTGCGACGCAGATAGATGACACAGAAGAGATTGTTGAAGAGTTGTGGGTCGACGTACAACAGTGAGAGAGAGAGAGAGAGAGAGAGAGGACTTTCCTACGCCCCGTTGTCTAATACCTGTACAAGAGCTGAGGTAAGATTACAGTTTACATGACTTAGTATACATTATATATCATACACCATGTATCATACTCCATACATCATAATTATACCATACAACATACACCACACACTATGCACCATACATTATACAACATACACCACACACTGTGCACCATACATTATACAACATACACCACACACTATGCGCCATACATTATACAACATACATGACACACTGTGCACCATACATTATATAACATACACCACACACTATGCGCCATACATTATACAACATACATGACACACTATGCACCATACATTATACAACATACATGACACACTATGCGCCATACATTATACAACATACATGACACACTGTGCACCATACATTATACAACATACACCACACACTATGCACCATACATTATACAACATACATGACACACTATGCGCCATACATTATACAACATACACCACACACTATGCACCATACATTATACAACATACACCACACACTATGCACATTTATACAACATACACCACGCACTATTAAAAAGCTATACATTATACTACAAACATACCCCACACACGGCACCATACATTATACAACATACACTACAATTGTGGGTTCTTTGTTCAGGGGAATTACCCAGGGGAATTCAGGTTTTCAGGGGGGGGGGAACTGATTCGGGAGCAAGAGATGTGTTCGATGAGAAATCAATCACAGAATTTTGGCCCTTGATGTGCGATTCCTACCCAAAAGTGGCAGAAAGAGCTATCCGTGCATTGCTTCCGTTTGTGTCGACATATCTTTGTGAGTCAGGCTTTTCAACTCTGTTGCAAATTAAAACGAAGCAACGTAGTAGATTAGAGGTAGAAAATGACCTGCGTTGTGCCCTTTCAAGCACTCCTCCGCGTATCCCAGAATTGGCGAAGAAAAAACAATCACAGGTTTCTCATTGACTGTAATCTTCATCTGAATAAAATTAATTACAAATTTACAATATCCTGGTATTCTATTGAACTTTTTGTTTATTGCATTATGCTTCAGTTTGGTCTGTTAAATAATTCATTATAAATATAAAAAAAACTATTTTACTTTTATTCAAGTTTTATAAATCCATCAACATTTTCAATTGGCATTTAATTTGTAAAACTCCACTATAAAAATAATCCATGTAAAATTGTAAATGTATATGTACTTATATGGAAAAAATAAAGGATTTTCAGTATTATATGCATATTATTTGGAATGCACTTTTTGAGGCAGACAATCTTGGAAAGGAGGGGGGAATGACATTCTGACATATGGTGAAAGGAGTGCATGGGGCAAACAAGGTTGAGAACCACTGCACTACACACTATGCACCATACATTATACAACATACAAGACACACTATGCACCATACATTATACAACATACAAGACACACTATGCACCATACATTATACAATATACACCGTAACACTGTTAATTACTGTGTCAGGAGGTTAGGTTATACTCATAAGTTGGGGAACATTTATGTATTTTTTAATACTAGTTGTTGAATGTAATGCATACGCTGTGTGTGTGTGTGTGCACGATAAATTATCAATATTCCTCGTGATAAAGTACCTAACTAACCTAACTTAGCCTAACCTTACTCATTTACTTTAGGGACACTTATACAGCCTTATGATAGTTAACGACGCCTTACATCAAACAACGCCAATTTTACCCTGCATAAATTAATTTCCATTGAGATAAGCAAAGAGGAAAATTTTTTCCCTATTCGGCAAAAATTTCAGTTGATTTTAAGGCTTACCCGGTAGTTCTCTTTATTTAGCGTCACACACACACTATATATATATATATATATATATATATATATATATATATATATATATATATATATATATATATATATATATATATATATATCTTTTATACAAAATCTACGGGAAAATGGAAACAACAGCAATTTTCCCGTGATTTTATCAAGATTTTATCTTTTATCCACGTTTTCATTGTGATTTACATGATATATATATGTATATATATATATATATATATATATATATATATATATATATTTATATATATATATATATATATATATATATATATATATATATATATATATATATATATGCAAATCACTGTAGGTGTGAGATTCAGGTAAGTTGATAATCAAAGGAAAGAAGAAAAACACGTGTTTTTTCTTTCTTCCTCAGGTTATCAGCATATATGTATATATATATATATATATATATATATATATATATATATATATATATATATATATGTATATATATACACATATAACACACATGAGCTCACCGAGCACAAACAAAGCATCACTTGTATAGGGGCTGACATTTGCCGTCACTCAGTGAAACGATTTTTAACATTCTGTTATCCACATTGTTGGTCCATCACACCTCACTATTACTCTGTGTCACCGCCAGTCATTCATCTTCTCAGTATACACAACCAAAGTTTGTACATTATATTTACATTTTAACTGGGAACTTTCAAGTTAAGACTTAAGGTGAATTCTCAGAGACCCGAAAGATACAGTTTCCCCCTGACTGGAGATGTGTTTGAATGACTCATTTAATATAAAATGTGGTGATGGAGTCTTAGTTTTTCCTAACCCTATCCTTCACTACAGACGTGAAAATACGTCTAACTTAAACAAATTACCAGCGACAGAAAAATAGATTCTTAGAGCTATGAACATTGAGTGTATCCCTTAACTAGATATGTGAGAATGTATGGAACCGGTTAACTTAATCTTACATGATTACTCTGGCCAATACTGGATGATGAAAATGGGTAAGGAAGGGAAGAACTGACTGACAGACAGATAAAGGCGAGAGAGAGGGAGGGGAAAATAAACCTAGCTTAACCCCTCTGCTCCATCATCAATGCTTCCTTCAGCCAAGCAAGATGCCCAGCTGACTGGAAGACCTCTTAAGTGTCACCAGTGCACAAGTCCTTAACCCTTTCACAGCGGCAGGTTACCCTAAGTTGAATAAAATCGTCTGGCGGGAGTCTGAATAAAATTGCAAGCACGTGACACGCGGTGAAAAGGTTAATCGAGAGAGGTTTTAAATGATTTAAGACCCACTGCCATCCCCCCTAATACCCAGCTTAATCCCCTAAAGTTTTGTGTTTGACTGGGCTTATGCTGATATTGCAGGCGCCATAGATCCTCAGCAATTTGGCAATATGAAAACTTCCTCCACCACTCACGTCTTGTCAGCTTTCTCGACTACAAATACCGCCATCTGGAAAAACGAAAGACGTGGGTGTCGCCTTCATTGACGTCACCAAGGCATTTGACCAAGTCGACCACAATTTAGTCGTCAACAAAGATATCGATCGACCTCGGGTTTTGGAGAAGTCTTATACCATGGCTTACAGACTTCCTTGGTGACCGACGCTCTGCTTCCTCCTGCTTATCAATGATGCCCTAAGAGAAACTTCTGCTCGCCGGAAATATGTCGACGACTCCACCATTGGGATCTGCGTGAACAACTCAGCTCCCGTCTACACCGCCCTCTAGAATATATTGAACAGTCTCCAAAATTGGGCCACCAACAACCATGTCACCATCAACCATACCAAGACCATGGTTATGCACATCAACCTCTCCTCTGACCTTGTCCCCCCACCATTACTTTGGGCCTCAACACAACGTAAACACCTAGAAAAGTGCAAAAGAGGGCATGCAAGATTATTCTCTCCCCTTCCTACTCCACATATCAAGAAGCGCTCAACACACTGACCCTCTCGGCTCTCTCTGACCATCACCACGACCTCCTCTGCAAATTTGGCGAGAAGCTTCTGCACCATCCTTGGCACCGGCTCCTACTACCACCCGAGATCCATCGTCCGCCAATTGCTGTTCGACACCACATCCGCATCCACCCCATACGAGCACGAACTGATCGCTATAAGAACAGCCCAGTCCCAACCATTGTAAAACTTATCAACAACTCGTAATCAACCAGTGTGTTCACTCCCAGCCAATCTTTCCTTTTTGCACTGTTACTATGTTGAAATGCTCCATATATTTATTATATATCATATATGTTTCACTATGTTTTTTGTATACTATTTGTGAATCAAGTGACCCATTCCCCGATTATGTAACTGTATATTTTCACCCTTGTGGCTGCCATGCTCTTTCAATAAACCGTTAATTATTATTATTATTATTATTATTATTATTACAAACACACCCACCCACCCATCCACACACACACATGGGCTCACTGTGACAGACTAACAGATGCTCACCTTGTATACTAAAAGGCCTCACATGTGGCCACAAAGTTGAGTCATCAGGTGAGAGAGATGTGTACATTAGTTCCTCCTCCACCACACAACACCAGCCACTGTACCTGTCATCAGCGGCCCCTCTGTTACCGCCTCTGTCTCACCGGCTCAAAGTCACAAATTTAGGTATCTTAATTTGTCCGTTGGGTCACCTGAGGATTAGCCCCCAGCTTATTTCAGCTTAAAATTATCTACCCTAATATTTACCCTAACCTAAACTAATTTAACCTAACCTAACATAATGCTTACCTGGGCCCAACCTAACCTAACCTAACCTAACCCGGCGTATACCAAAGAAAAAATTAACTAATATTCTCCTTTCTATTCTATTTCAGGCGTCAAATTAATAAAGAATCAATGTAAATAATAAATTAACACTAGAGATAAGAGAAATCAATTTAACAGATAACCAGATACCAGACAATAATCAGTCGTTACAGGATTAGATAAGAAGACATACCTGACCACAAAACACCTGTATGGTAATGAGGTTTTGTTTATATAGAAAATCTGACAACAAAATTAATTTAATACCTTTTGTTTTAATTACTCTACTATCTTCATTAACTCTTTTATTATTCTCACCTGAAAAAAATTAGGTTAGGTTAGGTTAGGTTAGGTTAGGTTAGGTTAGGTTAGGTTAGTGTACCATCATTGATCAAGACTACAGGAGAAAGACACAGCTGCAATAAGATCTTTCGTGTT